GTAACCCCACCTTCCTACTTCCCCTTCTGGCACTAAGCATAGACAGCTAAATATTTGCAGTATAGAGTGAACTACCTTGTATCTAATGTAGTACAAAATGTTATACAGCAAAAACATTTCTAAGAGAGTAAATATGTAAAATACAGAAGCCTGAAGGAAGCAAGAATTAATTTACATCCTCTGTACCTAATTAGGACTTTGGTTGATTCAAAATCAATTTTTAAAGGTGAAAAGAACTTAAAATGAAATCTCAAGCCAGAACAGAATGAGTTCTCCCCACTGGCACACACTAGACCGTCCCTACTGTTATAAATGGGTAACAGCGAGGCTTCTGAGTTGTTTAGTACATAGTGTGACCCTCTCTAAAGAACTGAGTGTTGCCAAGGATTAAGGTTCCTTCTCCATGCCAATAGCTCATGTTCTGCAATTTGGGAAATTGATCAAATCACTCCAAGCAATCTGAAAATCTCACAACATGCAAATGAAAAGGCATTAAAGCTCAACTACATACTAAGTAGCTTAGCTTTGCCGTTGGCTGGACATGAGGAAAGCACATTCTGCCAAGATGTTTGTCAGAGAGGTGAAAAAGGAGCCTGCTTCCCTGAAGGAAAGATGATAGTACCACCTGACTCTCCACTCCTGCTTCCCAGGATGGGAGTGAACAGTACAGGGCTTCTTCATAAACCTCTTCTCCTAAATAAAGATTGCCAGATTCTGGTCCGTTGCAAACTTGAACACACAATGCACTCTGTAAATCAGGCAAAGTAAACTCAGAGCAATTTCACATTTCATATGTGAACATCCAAATACGTCCCTGTAACAGGAACACTCTTTCATTTAAGCAGTGCAAATAAGTGGGAACACTCCAGATAACACAAAGGATAAACATTTACCAATGTTGTAATAGGCCTGTCACATCTGGGCCTTAAAATAATTAAACTAGCAAGAAGGAACCCTGGCCAGTGCTGGGGGAGGACATAATTCACTAAAAGCCAAATAGTTAGAATTTAACTTCTGTGCCATGATCCCAGCTTATTATAATCTAAGCTTAGAAAACTGATCACTCATCTGACAGACTTGACAAGGGCTCTCAGAGCAGGCAGGTTTTCAAGGGGAAATGGCTGGTTTCCTCTCAGACCTGGTGAGTATCCAACTTCTTGTCTTCTAGCCCTAGTCACTAACAGCAGCATAGGGCGCGTAGCCCTCTTTCTTTAAAGATTACAGCAAGGGAATCGAGCAGTCTTTCTTTTACCAAAAATGAGCAACAGAGCTCCTGCTGGGGACAACATTCATTCAGCAATAAGAGGGGAAGTGCTGGATGAAAAGTGAGCTTATCTCATTTTGGGGACCAGCACAAATGCAGAGAAGAAAAACAGGAGAATTGTGCGTGGTGAGATGCCTCTACATCTGCCTGAAAGGACTTACTGACTACACAGTATCTCCAGAAAATATGTAAGAAATGTAAAAGAGTGAAAGAAGTTTAAGAGGGGGCCTGGGAAACCAGGAAAGAAAAGGCCTTTTGAGCAGGACAAACAATAGTATGAGCGAAAACAATAGTATGAGAAAAACAAAAACGCAACAAAAATTCCCACCCAGCTGCCCTGCACTCTCAAGGATATTTGAGGATATTCTTCTCCTTAGAGTGTGGCATGACTAAATACCTGAAAATATATGTGCTTGTGAAGAGCACAGTTGGTCTGCATTCCAAACAGGGGTCATTCAAGCAGGGGTTCTGAATATACAGTTCCCTGTAGGGATAATAAAACTGAGCTTAAAAAAGGAGGACAGACTTGATTAATCTCTCAAAATTGGTGAACAAAAGTCTCTGAGGAGGCAAGGCTGAGAGGAAAAAGAGATTCAAGAAAGCCATAGTTTCTTACTTGTACAAAAGCACATACAAATTATCTGAACAAGGTTTTTATCCTTTTTTTAACTTCAGTGGCAAAACTAACAGAATTAGAGGCTGGATCCTTCCAGTCTGTCAGTAACAAGGAGAAGAACACAAAAAAACTATAGATCTGCATCTCAGCTGTTTCTCAGTAATTTTCCTTATTGAAAAATTCAAGATGAGTTTTTGCATTGTAAAGGCTTTCTTAACCACAGAAGTGTAAAGACATAAGCTCTCATAAATTAACTTGTTTCTGAAAGCCATGCTGCTATCATGAACTGATAGGATGTGTTTCATCATCTTTGGCAGGTTCAATACCGGAAGCTACTACTAATGATTTTGGTGCTAGGAATTGGTGGAACCCACCTGTCTGGTTTTCAAATGTCTGTGATGAATTATGCTTCCCCGGTAAGCAAAGCCTTCATAAAATCACATCTGTAACTGCTCTTCATGGAGCTAGGCCTAACACTTTGAAGATAGATAGTCTAAAAAACCTGTAAGGTGTTGCTATGTGAGTTTATCCCCAACTCTTTTAAATCTCATACCGCCCAGTGTCACAGGACAAAGGGAGTTTGCATTAATGTTAGGAGCTGTACTCCAAAGACAGCATTCCCATAGAATATCAGAAAGGCTGAGAAAAATGGAAAGCCAGCAGTATTCCTGCTATGATCTATAGCTGAATGGAAGGACTATAGAAGTCTTGGTTGTTCTTTAAACTAAGTTTTTTCTTTTATGAAACATCTCTAACATGTTGTTAAACTCGTGTGGCAACGTGTGAAAACAATTAAGGAAGCACACTCCTTAAAGGTTATGCCACAGAGAAAAAGGTTAAAAACTAGCTGAGTGAATCTCAACCTTCAGTTCAGCCCTTTTCCTCTTTATTTTTGCTGCCTGCTCTCAAAAACACTTGCACTTCACAAGAATCTATAACAGTTCCTAACATTTTGGTGTGAGACAGCCGGGATTCAACAAAATAAACAGTACAATTAATTTTTGCAAGAGCCTCTTACACTGTTTAAGCTGTATGAGAGGAAGTTTGGTGACTTAATCTTAACTATACGTGTCTCCACTTAAAAGAAAAGCCCTACGCTGAAATAATGTATTCACTCCACTAAATTAATACTACATCCTGTCAATACTGAGGTATGAAGGCAAAGTTTACTGAGGAAGCTTGCAATGTTGCGTTTCCTGTTTCCACAAGCAATGCATTTAATCGTATACAGTAGTAACAAAAGTGGCAATAATTTTCAGCATCGTCACTCAAGTGGAGTATACACAACACCTCCCCCTTCTTGGCAGACTCCATTGCTCACCATGCTAGTGACCAGGTGGCTGCTCAAAACTGTTCTGCTGACACATTAAGTGGTAATAAGCTCCATTTTGTGGAATTTATGGCTAATATCAATCCTAATTTGCTAACAAGAATCCCATAGTTGTGCGTTCAGTAATGACTATTGTTCTAATTTTTTTAAGTGGTAAACATAATGAAGAACTGTTGCGAACAGTGCCTCAGAGTAATGAAAATCTCCTTTTTTGTCCCAGTACGTTCAGAAGTTTATCAATGAAACCTGGCTGGAGAGATATGGTTCTGTGCTGCATCAGGAGTCACTCACATTACTGTGGTCCTTCATTGTGTCCATGTACTGTGTAGGTGGAATGATAGGGTGTCTGTGTAGTGGGTACCTGACTGCAAAATATGGAAAGTAAGTATATTTCCAAACAGCTCACTAGTCCAGGATGGAACAAGAGAAGCAATTAAATAAGCATTGTTCATCTAATATAATGGACGTGGGAATTCTCATTGTACCCTACTGGTGCAGAATTAACTCTACTCAGAATGTGCAACTACACCCAGGTCCATTACAAAGACCGGAATATACATATGTTTCTGATTCCCTCTTCATAATTTTTGATGTTACCCTATTTCTATATTTTTGCTGCACTTTTAGTAAAGAATCAATCTCTTGAGTTTCTTTATTAGGCAAAAGTGCAGCACTGCAACACTGTAGCAGTGCAGAAGGTGATAAATATCAATTAAAAATTTGCAAGTTCAGTCCTCCCTGAGGACAGTCAGAGTTCAAGCGAAATTAAGTCCCTCAGGCCCCATTCAGAACCCTCTTTCTGACGGTGACGATAACAGAACAAAGCCAGAACTCTCTAGCTCAAGGTGGGCAGCGAACCTAGTTCTCAGTAAAGCTGGGTTTCCCTTGTTCTGGGGACATGTGTGGTGGTTGGGATGGGAGCCTGGACCACAGGAAAGATGTGAAAAAGATCATTCCTTATCAGTATTAATCCTGCAAGAATTTCCTTCAGCATCATGGTGCACTCATATGGGCTTAGTACAGAAAAGAAGAGTCTAGCCTTTACCTTTCCACTCTACTAGAAAAACATCATGGCTTTTCACAGTCAGAAAAGGTTGCCCTATAAGCAGTGGATTTAAAGATGGCCATGGCTTGGCCTCTAAATCCAGAGAAGAACAGGTAAACATTAGTCAGAGATGAAAAAGTAAAACCTGAATCATACTGGGATGTTGTTTGCTGTTGCAGGAAAAAATGTCTGCTGTTCAATGATCTGGTCCTCATAGTAGCAACACTGCACACTGGCTTCAGTAGGAGAGCCAAATCTTTTGAGATGATCCTGATTGGGCGCTTCCTCGAGGGCATCTGTGCTGGTAGGACTCCCTGCTACTCCATGTTAATGTGACTTCTTTGGGGTGGATACAGAAATCTTCCTGCTGGGAGTACCCGGGCATGCACAGTAACCCCACTGGAGCAAGGAACAGATTGGGAAAAGGTAAGATCATGCCTCACTTTGAGGCAACAGGCCACACAAACCCATCACATGGTCCAGTTTGTCCCCTGGGCAGGGACAGTATAATAATGAGCCATCCTGTGCCTTCACTAGGTGTTGCCGAGAGAGGTATTTGATGGATTAGCTAAACATCTTGCTTGCAGTAAGATGTTCATTTTCAGCCTAATTATTTTGGACGATACATAGCAAACAGTTCTGAGACAGGAGAGAGCTACCTTTGGCTGAAGGTGAACTGAAAAGAGGACCCTCTCCCTTGCTTTCTTTAGCTTAACGCTCTCCTGTGTCTTCTTCCCTTTCAAGGAATACATATGAATGCCCATGTGCAGTATGCAGGAGAGATCTCACCTAAGAAGCTGCGTGGATTTGTAAACGTGACCTCCTCTGTGTTTCTTGCACTAGGAAAAACTGTAGCAAGAATTCTTGGACTGCGGTACTTACGCTGCTCTTTCTTATCCCATTTTCTAATACAGTTGTCTTCTTTACACCTCTGTGAGGAAAGTGCTGTCCTCCCCATCCTAGAGGAGGAGAGACAGACACACACTAAGGGTGGGATTTTATTTTGCTTAACCACAGCTGTCAAAAAGGAAAGCATGCATGCCAGCCACAGAGGTTCCATTATTAATCCCAGACCCTTCTCTTGAGAAGGGATGAATCCACCTCTGGAGATGCCTGTCTCTGCTGCAGTTAATAAGAAAGAATTCTATGTAAACACTCTTAGTAAGCATTTGTGATCTGTTATTGACGATAACTTCTTGATCGCCTCACGCAGAAGTGCCTTGTTGATTCAGAGAGCTGTTGTGGAAATATTCAAACTCCACTGATTTTTAGTAAAGTTTCAAATTATGAGAAAAATCTCAGTCATGCAGTAGAACTAGGGTACTGGCCTACTTCCTTTCCCTAGTTAAACATTTTCTATTTCAGTTTATCCTTTCCAGGTCTATATATATTTATAGTTTCTATTTAGCTAGACTGGAATCAAAAAAAAAAAAATCCTCCAGACTAGTTATAGAATATAATTGTATTAGACTATAAATACACTCTTATGTACTCTCCATAGAGATCTTTTAGGAACTGAAGACTTGTGGAACGTGCTATTGTCCTTCTCTGGGTTGGTGGCATTGATTCAGCTGCTCTTTTTACCATTCTTTCCTGAGTCTCCTCCCTATCTTCTGCTGCAAAAAGGAGATAAGAACGGTTGCTTGGAAGGTAAAATAATACTTTAGATTCTTGGTTTGTTATACTACACTCTTGGGAAATTGAACCTAACAGAGGGAATTAGATTTTTTAGTCATCTAATAATAATTTCTTGATAATTATATGATGAAAGATCTTGTAAAGATTATAACATAGAATTATGTTGCTCCAGACAAAGGGGAGTCATCAGAAATATTCAAGATCTCCCCTTAGATGCTATAGCAAGTTGAAAGCCATTTTCCAGGGCAGTCTCAGCATGTCCCAGCAAGTGATGTTCTCATTCTTTGCTCAGTGACAGATGGATCAAAGCATGGACTGAATTGCAAATGATTAATAAGCCATTAAAAGTTGAAAAACACATAACTATGAATGGATCCGATGATGAAGGGGTATGTTTCGTTCTGTCTCTTCTGTAGCCATGAAGCAACTGTGGGGAGAAGGGAATTATCACACAGAGTTTGAAGACATGTTGAAGGAAAGAGCTGCAACAAAAGGCACCAAAATCATGAACGTCCTAGAGGTGCTGAAGGAACCATCTGTGCGCAGGCAGCTGAGCATCATGCTCCTCCTTTTACTGAGTATACAGCTTTGTGGCTTGAGTGCAGTTGAGTATACCTCATTTCCATTCTTAGATCTACTGTTAGTAACCAAAGGGATGTAATTCCAATTTGCCACTTTCCTCTGGATCTACATTATTCTTTCTAACACTGAATCCACTATCTGCGAAGCTCAGTGGTAACATCACTAGTATTCTTTATACCTTTAAGGGAACTTCTGGGCTGGAAATACAAGAGATACAACACAGTGAATGTTAATGTTCCTGCAAAGGTGATGTTGCCTTCATTCCAGTGGTGATATTTCCAAAGGCTCTGTAGGAGAGAGCTCTTTATCTAGACATCAATCTCCACTTTCCTTTGACCTCTACATCCCGGTAGCAGATTGACATCTGTTGACATCAAACTTTCATTCCAACTGAAATTGGAGATTTACCTGTTCAGGCATTTCTTTTTGGTGCCTACTGCATTCAAGATAGCAGTGGCCAAACGGCCTCCTGTAATATGTATTCCTCCAGATGTCATTTTGTCACTTGCCTATAGGTTTGTCTCCGTAAGCCTTGATTAAGCCTGCAACTCTGCTGGAGCTTACATTCATTACACTTCCCAGGAATGTAGGCAGTCAAGGCAGCTCTGTGCTCTGCTATGACAGGGAAATGGTGCCTACTCCATCAGAAACTTTGCAAATGAGCAATTTTTGCTTAGCTACTGTAAAAAGGCTACAGAATCAACTGTTTGGATAATTGTGCACAGTCTGCTACTGATGAGATCTCATTTTCTTTTTCTTCACTCCCTGTCTTGTCCCTTTCCTCTTCCTCTTTGCCATAACTAGATCTGTCTCTCAGATCCTACTGGCAATGTGCTCCTTTCAACCCCCTTTTTTTCCTAGACTTTCAAAACTCTTTCCGTTATCCCCATTAGCCTTTTAACTTTTCACATCTCGAGCAGGTATAACACCTCCACTAAGTCCCAATAATGTACTGTTGTTATTGCAGGGATGACAAATCTAGTTCTAAGTAATGCTGGATAAGCACAAATCACATCTATTGATCATGCTTCATTTTTAAAATGCCTCATATTTTCCAGATCACCTTTTATACCTCAGAAATTTTCCGGACAGCCAACATTCAGGAAAGCATAATCCCATATGTATCTCTAGGAGTTGCAATCTCCGAGCTCTTCTCTATCATCTTCTGTGTAAGTCAGACCTTGCTGGGGCTTTAAGGGTTAAAGCAAATGTGATTTGAGTTATTCTTTCTTAAAATAAATGAATATTCTCTATGTGAACCAAAGATTTTTTTCTGCGGCACTGCACAAGTCTGTAAAGTGTTTTTTATTATTTTTATTTACTATTCCAAATTTCTTCCTGTCTTCAGGAAGCTTCATTCTCCACTGTTTTTTACAAAAATCTCTCTCTCATTTAGGCAACTATATATTCAATGTCATTCAAACATATATGCACAAATATATGTAAGTATACCTGTGTACTTGTTCATAAACATATATACACACACACACAAATATATGTAAGTATACCTATGTATATCTGTGTGAATATATATATGTGAATGGAATTATAACATGCTTCTGTTGATTACAATGCTTATGAACAAGTAGCTGCAATGCTTGGGGAATAATGTTACTTAATAGCACTAGAGAGCTGATTGCCAGGAACTCCATAAAATAACTGACTTGAGACCAACACCTTGTGTTCCCTAAAGTAAAAAGAACTGAAGAAGAAAGCCTGATTTTTGGAAGTCTGATGGCTCGACTTCACCATGCTCCCAGTAATATGCAAATATTTTCTACTCCTCAGAGCTCCATTATAGATCGTTTTGGACGGCGGATTCTCCTTTGGGGTGGTTATTTGCTGATGGCACTGATATTGGTGTTGTTTGAAACAAGTCTTCAGCTGAGTGTAAGCAAATATCTCTCTGGGGGTGGCCCTGCCTCATAAATCCTTGTGCAGATCAGCAGCTAGTCAGCCTTAGCTTTGACCTACCACAGCTGTAGGCCTGAATGTCTTGTGAATACAAACCTATAGTCCTCTCTGCAGGGCCTTTGTCCTGCCTTTGTCCCATCCTGCACTTCTCTTTCTTAATCAGGCTTTTAAATAGTCAGTGAAAAACATTTTCTAAAATCATTGGTCTGCCTGCCTGATTTTTTCAAACCACACTTGGGTCTTGTTTCACTGTCCTTAAAATCCTTAGATGAGCATCCCTGCTGTCACATTTCCCATTTGCTATCCCCTGCCTCCCGTAGCAGGAAGCGTGTGCACTGCCTCTTCTGACAACCACCAGTTTCCTCCCTGTCCCAGCCCTTGATACAAGCAGTCTAACTGCATACCCATAGTGCGTGCCACAGCTTCAAGAGAGCCAGTGATTTACCTTGCGTTGCAATCTTTATCTCAGCCCGTGAACTTCTAACTTCTCTCTGTTCCACAGATGTTTTCTGATTCACAAGAGGTTTAAACTTTTCTCTGAAGTTGTCTCATTGAATAACACAATTAGGCTAAATCACTAGCAATTTTCCCCATGCTGTAATTAGCTTGGAGTTTGTAATTTGTTTAACAGAGTTTAGGGAGTGGAGTTCAGCTCACCTCTGTATATATGACACTGCAACCAGTTCTGAACCTGCTTTTGGCCTTCCGCTGTATACGTACGGTACAGAGAAGGAAATACTTCCAGAGAGCATCTATTACAGAGCCCAACATCATGATGAAATGACAGCTCTTTCATAAACATTGCTTCTCTTGTATGTTTCGATCAGCTATGGTACAACTAATACATTAATTATCGTTCTCCTCCCTCCTTTTGCCTTTGTCTAGGATCAGTTCTCTTGGATGCGTTACTGCAGTGTTATTCTCATCTTCTTATTCATCATTGCCTATGGAATAGGACCAGGCAAGTAAAACAATATAAGCAGTAAGAGCAAACCTTTGGACCATACAGGATAAGCACAGGCTATGGATGTATGGAAACATAATTCAACTATGTGAATACATCGTGATAAATCAGCAGCATAGCTTCACCTGAAATTGAGGCAACTCCAATTTATGATGAAGTAATGACTTGAGAAACAATTCCCATAGGAAATGACTTCAACCAATTCAGACCCTGATATATCAGGACTCTTATTTTGGAGGGTGTGAGTGCTGTTCTGCATATACAGACTCATCTGGCCCATCTCTATCTTTGCCCAAGGGCAGAGATAGCCTCTTCTAAAATAGTCAAGCTTTCTCAATTCACCTGTAAAGTTCAATTCCACTGAAAAATGATGTCTGATTGCATGCATAGCTCTATCTCTTAGCATTGCTTTGTCCTTTCTGTTCCTCTCTTAATGTCACTCTGAATTACATACTGGTAGTGCGAGAACCAAACTTACAGCTCACTATTATGATTTCACTCACTCGAGAACAATATTTACTCTGTTTTTAGTTATTACACTCTACAACATCAAATGGTGGCTGTTATTTTTGTAAGAGCTTTTATACAAGGACCATGAATGTCTTGAAAACCTAACAGAAATCCTATGTTAGCAGGACCCAGTCATCTCCTATGGGCAATGGAGAGAAATAGGTCCTTAAGGCATGATTCATCTCCATATTTTAACTATACATCTTAGGTGGAGAGTAACTGCACTTCAGGGATGTCCATCTTTCTCCACAGATCATAAAAGAAATCTGGCAGGCTAGTTCAGATGGAGATGGCTGTGCTGCCTAAAGCTAGATGAAATTGATCTCACCTAGCCTGACTTACTGGGGCTGTGTTTGACCATTGACATCTGTTCACTCTTTCACTTTGAGGAAAATGGTTAACTAAAACTCCCCAGGAGAACACAAAATGCACAACTTTTTTATCACTTTCTATGTTTTTTCCTCAGCTGGAGCCTTCGCATCTGTCATGAATGAAATCTTCACCCTTTCAGCAAGGTCCTCTGCTTTTGTAATTGGTGGGATCGTCATATGGCTAGGACTCACTTTCACTGGAATGATTTTCCCCTTCGCTATCGTACGTAATTTGATTCAGGTCTTCTCTTTTGCTATCTTAGTTTAAACTGGTTTCCTAAGCTGGCCTGGACAGGAAGATGCAATGCCTTGTAGATGATCAATGCTGTAAATTCCTTTGCTTCTGGCACATGGAGGACATCTAAGATGTTTCCTTAGTCCTCGGATGTCCTCTGCTGTCTCATGAATAGACTGAAAAGATAAATAAACGTTCCTTCTGTAAAATCAACTTGTTCCTCATTTCATAAGGACAAATCAACAACGATCAAGAATCTACAGGGCAAGTGTCATTAGGGAAATCACTCATCATATTCTATTTTTCTCTCCAGATGGCTCTTGGTCCTTTCTGCTTCCTCATCTTTATTGCTGTCCTGATCATTTCATCGATTCTCATTTATCAGTTCCTCCCAGAAACAAAAGGAAAGTCAATCACAGAAATCACAGAAGAATTCAAAACACACCAGTTTAAGAAGAAACATGTTCAGACAGTGGAGAAGACTACTACTGAGGAAAATACATTTTGCACCAAGCTCTGATGGGCCACCACAGGCAACTTCCACTGACAAAAAGCTCTGCCTCAAGATCAGACTGAAGGCTAAACCTTAACAAGGACTCTTGTCAATAAAATAGAATTCAAAAAGTAATCCACAGAGAGCTTGTCATTAATCCAAGTAGTCCTATTTTATACTTGTCTTTGTTTTTTATGTTGAGGGACAACAGTTCTGTAGCAGGAGGACATTAGTAATTACAGACACTGCTCAGAACTGGCATGTAGAAACCTTTTCAGGGATAACATCAATTTTATACCAAGCCCTTTTCCTTTGCAGTCATTTTAAAGGAATGAGATTTAACTCTGTGTTTGTTAATTTTTAACAAAATTCTGCTTAGGTTTAAGAGCAGGATGAACAGAGGATGAAATGTAAACATAACTCTTGCAAACAATTTTCTTGTCATCTCTTTATGAAATCATACTGTAAAGGATCTAGGATTGACAATTAACACTGCAAATGAACAAATGTCAGGTAGAATAACACAGAAAAAATTGTTCTTGTTCTATTTTCTTGAGCTGACATCATGGAGCTGCATGTCCTGATTGTTTCAGTAATGATTGTCAGGGGTCAGCCCTGACCCCCGGGCAGTTAGAGATGAACCTTCACCTGCATCCTCTGGAGCAAACTGGCTGCACCTTCCATGCATATCAACTGGAGCAAAAGCTGGAGCAAATTTTCGTAGTGTGCACTGTCCTCTCCTCATAGATGACCATAGTTCGGCCATGAGGGTGAACAAGCATACAGGCAGTGCTGACAGCTAGAGGACCAGAGGCCTGGAGTGAGACAGGGAGTAAGACAAGCTGAGAGAACAGACATAGCAAAAACTCAGCTTACTTTATAAATAATTAACTGCTCAACACAAGAAGCAGAAGCTATGATAGCAAAATGTCTGCTAGTTGTGTACTGGATTAGGACACATTATACTCTACTAGCACACATCAGCATGTAGTATACTTTACCACTGCTACGCTCCACAGCATCCATGTACTATTGCTATCCAAGAGCTGTTAATTTGCTGTCCACTGCAACATCTAATCTCTTCACTCTCCAAATTTTTCTACCTTCTAATACGACTACCATTTATTTTTCCATTTTCTGCCACAGTTAAAAATATTGAACTACATTGATATCACTGTGCTGGAACTCTGAATCAGTGTTGAGTTTTGGGGAGCTTTATTTTCTATTCAAATTTTCCAAATAAATATATATTTTAAAACAAGATATAGAGGAATCAAATTCATCCTCCATTTTTCTGCCAAAACTTGAGCTCAGGTTTTTGTGTTTCTGTTGCAATAACTAACCACCACATAAACTCTTCAACTTAGGTGAAAGAATAGTTAAGCTCACAAGATTTCTGGGAAGCTATTCCTTTAAGAGAAAGCATCTTCAGAGCATAATAACATTGCTTTTACAGACAGACCAAGTCTGTTATCTAAAATCTTCTCTGACGAATCAGAGGATTATATTTCCTTTGGTTAAAGACTAGAACATCAGTAATCGAGCTGATAAAGTATATATGTGTTATTAAATTGCTGAAATGTTTAGTTAGTTTTTTAATCAGTTTTAACAGTATAACGTACCTGTTACTTCTAAAGGAATAGTCACAGATGATGTTCTGGTACTAAAGCACTAGTGTATGTTCCAGCCGCTAAGACCTGGTTTAGATTTTATATTCAATCAGTTTGTACTCCCTGAATCAAAATAGGGAGCACTCATGCTACAGGAATTCCCATTCAGAGGGACCTCTCTTGTTGAGTCATTGAAATATTTAATCCATCAGTTCCAAGCCTTGTCCAACTACTGCCAAAAACCATGAGCCTACATAAACAATGAGCCTACAGAAACAATACAAGGTAAACATTGATTATTTCCAGATGATTACTTAGCAGGAAGAGGCATGACAGAAAACACTTCCTAAGTCTCACAGAGTTCTGCCTGCTTGAGAGCAGCTACCCTTTCGACATAAGATGGACAAGCTCCTCTCAGAACTGGGGAGCGCTACAGCTGAGAGTATTTCCTGATAGTATAAGTTGTCAGAAGCTCTGCAGAAAAAAACTGGGAGGTTGTCTTTATAGTCTGTTGCAATTACCCTTCCTAAAGAAAATACAATACATATGTGCCACATTATTTTCAAAATAATAAGGTGGATAGTAGATGTTCTCTAAATAGTCTTTCAGATTTTCTTAGTGTAAAATTTAGAGGTATTACTTAAAATGACAAAAAATCAAAACACACAAATGAACTTTCTGGGTTAAAGGAAATTTTGAAGGAAGTTCCAGCTGGGTAGAGAAATTGATTTAAAAAAAGGCAAAAAAGTCCTCCAGTAATTAAATTATGAGGAAGTTCCATACCATTCTCCCCTAAAAATGATAAGAAATTGTGCATTTGAAAATGAATTTTTTGCTGATAATTAATAAATACAGAGAAGAAATATAAAACAGAAAATTCAGAATCTTTATCAGACAGATCTTTTTTGTGTTGACACTTTGCATGTTCTGCTAAGTTAATGAACAAGATGATATCCTGGAAATACAGAGAACAAAGGACTATGATATCACCAGTTTATTTTGTGATGAGCTTATACTGTTTTTTGCATGTTCAGTACCAGCGACTATTTGCAATGCTCTTTGTGCTGGGAATTGGTGGATCCCTCACAGCTGCCTTCCAAATTTCTATGATCAACTACCCATTCACAGTAAGAAAAGCTTTAAGTATCTTCAGAGGTCGTTGGTAGCGGGGTCAAAAAGTAAACAGTGCTTCTCAAAATAACTTACCAAGTGAGTGTTTACATTGACTTTCCATTCTCAGCTCCTTCCATCCCCTTTCTGTGCAGAAGAAAACAGTAAGAGCTAGACTGCAGCTGTCTTTGAGTAAGCATGGCCATGTAACAAACAGAACAACCTCCTCACTGAAAAGATGTTAAGATGGGCAGTCAACATTTTTTGCATTTTCCAAACACAGCGATGAGCAAGGCCTATGAAGACCTGTCTAGAAATCCCACAGGGGCATGGATGGATGGATGGATGAAATAGACCCCAGGCTTTGATTCTGCCTGCAATGAAGGTCAAAAAAGGTGCTTCTGGGAGTTTCAGATGGCTCCGAGTTCACTACATCACAAGCCACGGTAAACTGCAGCATGGGCCTTCATAGGGGTGAAATGGAGAGCTTCATCCTTATGGGGAACATCTTGGCCGGAATTCACAGTGGCTACAGAACTGGGGGAACAATATTATTCTTGGTCTTTTCAGCTGCAGAATCCATCAACTTTGCACATGACATGACAGTTCTAAGTTAAACACTTTCTCCTCTGGCCTTTCTCTAGTGAGGAACAGCTGTGAGCAATGTATTGCTTTCACAATTACTGTCTTTTTCCTTCTTAGCATGTTAGAAGATTTATCAATGAAACTTGGCAGGAAAAATATGATGCTGCCCTGCAGTTGAAGACCTTCAAAGCGCTGTGGTCATCCATTGTCTCTGTCTATGGCCTAGAAGGATTGCTGGCGTGTCTTGGGAGTGGATATCTAACCATAAAATACGGAAAGTGCGTATATTTGAAAACAAGGAGAAAAATTTGCTAGTAACTTGAATAACAAGTACACTTTGTGAACATGTCAATATCTGCCTTACCTAGGAAATAGCTCAATAAGCCTGGTTTATTTATGCGTATTTTCCTGGTGAAGGGAAGAAGTGTATTTTATCTAGACAGAAACTGAGCTTTCACCTTGACCCATATCCGGCTAACACACTGGGACCCTCCAGTGGCCAGTGTCCCTGGTGACAACGAAATCTGAAGCTCCAAACTGGTTCATGAGGATGCATAAATTACGTATGTAAACAGATCGCAGCACTTAGCATGTATACTGCATTACTTCCAAATGAGCTTTAATTAGACCATCTACACAATATTCAGCAATAGGTAAGTGAGCATTATTATTTGCCTTCTATTTCATGGATAGGAAACTGAGGCTCAGAAGGAGCCAAATAAACTTCCAAAAGCACCAGAGAGAGCTGGTGTTAGCTCAGGGTTAGACACCACGATCCTGTGGGTTTTCTTGCGGCTCAGGGCTCCATCAGCACTTCCTGTAACAGCTCACTAAGTTGACTCCTCTTAAAAGCTTGGTTCCAGTGTGCTCACCTTTGGAGAACCCCCAAGCCCTCTCAGCTGCCAGAGACACACTCAGCATGCAGGTGTACTCTGCTGCTGTGTATGTAACTCTTGGGTGGCAACCACTCCTTTCAGCAGATGCTGTTGTACCTGCTTTCC